CTTCAGTCTAACTCAAATCTGGCAAGTTTCAGCGTCTTGATTCTTTTATATACAGTTGCCAAGGAAAGCATATCCATTTTACTTTGATTGCATTTTAGACTCATAATTAAAATATAATGAAATATATTTGATATAGATTTAAACCTCTGATGATTTTGGTCCAGTCATCCCTGGTCACCAATCCCAGTCCAGTCATCCCTGATCACCAACCCAAGCCCAATCATCCCTGGTCACCAATCCCAACCCAGTCATCCCTGATCACCAACCCAAGCCCAATCATCACCAATCCACCCAGTCATCCCTGGTCACCAATCCCAGCCCAGTCATCCCTGGTCACCAATCCCAGCCCAGTCATCCCTGGTCACCAATCCCAGCTCAGTCATCCCTGGTCACCAATCCCAGCCCAGTCATCCCTGGTCACAATCCCAGCCCAGTCATCCCTGGTCACCATCCCAGCCCAGTCATCCCTGTCACCAATCCCAGCCCAGTCATCCCTGGTCACCAATCCCAGCCCCATCCCTGGTCACCAATCCCAGCCCAGTCATCCCTGGTCACCAATCCCAGCCAGTCATCCCTGGTCACCAATCCCAGCCCAGTCATCCCTGGTCACCAATCCCAGCCCAGTCATCCCTGGTCACCAATCCCAGCCCAGTCATCCCTGGTCACCAATCCCAGCCCAGTCATCCCTGGTCACCAATCCCAGCCCCAGTCATCCCCACCTCCCACCAGTCATCCCTGGTCACCAATCCCAGCCCAGTCACCCCAGCCCAGTCATCCCTGGTCACCAATCCCAACCCAGTCATCCCTGATCACCAACCCAAGCCCAATCATCCCTGGTCACCAATCCCAACCCAGTCATCCCTGGTCACCAATCCCAGTCCAGTCATCCCTGGTCACCAATCCCAGCCCAGTCATCCCTGGTCACCAATCCCAGCCCAGTCATCCCTGGTCACCCCCAGTCATCCCCAAGTCATCCCTGGTCACCAATCCCAGCCCAGTCCAGTCATCCCTGGTCACCAATCCCAGCCCCATCCCTGGTCCCAGTCATCCCTGGTCACCAATCCCAGTCCAGTCATCCCTGGTCACCAATCCCAGCCCAGTCATCCCTGATCACCAATCCAGCCCAGTCATCCCTGGTCACCAATCCCAGCCCAGTCATCCCTGGTCACCAATCCCAGTCCCGTCATCCCTGGTCACCAATCCCAGCCCAGTCATCCCTCCAATCCCAGTCCCGTCATCCCTGGTCACCAATCCCAGCCCAGTCAGTCACCATCCAGTCATCCCTGGTCACCAATCCCAGCTCAGTCAGTCACCAATCCAGTCATCCCTGTCACCAATCCCAGTCACCAATCAGTCATCCCTCACCAATCCCAGCCCAGTCAGTTCATCCCTGGTCACCAATCCCACCCAGTCATCCCTGGTCACCTATCCCAGCCCAGTCATCCTGGTCACCAATCCAGCCCAGTCATCCCTGGCACCAATCCCAGTCCAGTCATCCCTGGTCCCAATCCAGCCCAGTCATCCCTGGTCACCATCCCAGCCAGTCCAATCCCACCAGTCATCCTGGTCACCTCACATCCCTGGTCACCAATCCAGTCCCCATCCCTGGTCCCGTCAGTCACCAATCCAGTCATCCCTGGTCCAGTCCATCCCTGGTCACCAATCCCAGCCCGTCATCCCTGGTCACCAATCCCAGAGTCATCCCTGGTCACCAATCCCATCCCCATCCTGGTCACCAATCCCAGTCCGTCATCCCTGGTCACCAATCCCAGCCCAGTCATCCCCTGGTCACCATCCCAGTCCCCAGTCATCCCTGGTCACCAATCCCAGTCCAGTCATCCCTGGTCACCAACATCCCAGCCACGTCATCCTGTCACCAATCCCAGCCCAGTCATCCCTGGTCACCAATCCCAGCCCAGTCATCCCTGGTCACCAATCCCAGCCCAGTCATCCCTGGTCACCAATCCAGTCATCCCTGGTCACCATCCCAGTCCCAGTCATCCCTGGTCACCATCCCAGTCCAGTCATCCTGGTCACCAATCCCAGCCCAGTCATCCCTGGTCACCATCCCAGTCCAGTCATCCCTGGTCACCAATCCAGTCCAGTCATCCCTGGTCACCAATCCCAGTCCAGTCATCCCTGGTCACCAATCCCAGCCCAGTCATCCCTGGTCACCAATCCCAGCCCAGTCATCCCTGGTCACCATCCAGTCATCCTGGTCACCAATCCCAGCCAGTCATCCCTGGTCACAATCAGCCCAGTCATCCCTGGTCACAAATCCCAGTCCAGTCATCCCTGGTCACCAATCCCAGTCCCAGTCATCCCTGGTCACCAATCCCAGCCCAGTCATCCCTGGTCACCAATCCCAGCCCAGTCATCCTGGTCACCAAATCCCAGCCCAGTCATCCCTGGTCAAACCAATCCCAGCCCAGTCATCCCTGGTCACCAATCCCAGCCCAGTCCATCCCTGTCACCAATCCCAGCCCAGTCATCCCTGGTC